TCGGGTTAGGGTTGACCCGTTTTCCACCCGGGTCAGTTCGGGTTCGACCCGAACCCGACCCGTGACCCGAAATTGACACCCCTATATATGCATGTACAAGCTTGGTCGATGCAATTAATTTATTGGAAGTTGATATATCATCAAAAATTTATCTTGATCGGGCACGAATCTCGATGCAAAAATCAAGTTGGAAACTTCAAAAATTAAATCTGGGATTATTTGAACTCTGATTTCAGCAAACTTACAGTCAAACTGAGTGTCTCGGCAATACGAACCTGACGACACCAAATTCGACTCAATCTGAGCCCAAATGAGTCCAAATCAAGGACCCGAAGCGCTGTTGGAAAGTTCAAACCATAATTTGAGTTACCAAACGTTTCCAAACAAGACGTGCTTATAATCGAATCGAGCGGCTCGACGAGAAGAATCCAACGAGCCCAAGATCGCCAAAATCTGACGTCATTAAGACCTTCAAATGTCTGACGAATGGTACATGATCATGGGATTCAATATTGGCCATCCAACGAACCACTCCACATTTGCCCCTGATCTCTCACCTATTTACAAGCCATGCCAATACATAATATCTATAAATAGACCCCTCATTTCTCATGAGAAAGGGGCCCAAGGAAGAAGAGAAGAAGAGAAGGAAGAAGAGAAGATTATGAGGGAAGAAACTCCTCCTCGACCACCGCCGGAATTCCACCCGACTTCCAACTGACGCCGGAATTCCGCCCAATCTCCAAGTGACTCTGGAGTTTTACCGAAGACCATCTAAAGACAGAGTTCTCCTCGACCGCCGACTAACGTCGGACTTCTACTCGACACCGGACCTCCGCTCGTCGCCAGATTTCCACCCGACGCCAGACTTCTTTCTGTCGTTAGGTTTTTGTCGGACATTTATCCGATACTTGATTTCTATCCATTGCTAGACTTCTACCTGACACGGTACTTTTGACCTCCATGGCCTGCCGACTAAGGTCCTTCTGACTTACATCACCCACCGACTACAGTCCTTCCGACCTCCGTCACCTGCCGACTACGTTCCTTTCGACTTACGTCGCCCACCGACTACGGTCATTCTTACTTATGTCGCCCACTGACTACTATCCTTCTGGCCTCCGTCGCCAGCCGGCTAAGGTCCTTCCGACTTATGTCTTCTACTGACAAGCAATCATCCCGACCAAACGAACACGTCAACAGTGACTCTTTGTATTCACATCATTTAATGTAATCAAAAGATATACTTCAAGCTAAGGCCTTCCCCCAAGAAAGAGCCTCATTTGTAATCAACTGCAATAGTAGTGGATTCATTCAAACTAGGTTAGGCCCCATGGTTTTTCCCCCTTTTCAGGGGTTTTCCACATAAAAATCTTGGTGTCCTCATAATTGTTACACTCTCCCTCTTTATCTGATTGCGTGCCGGATTTTTGTACAATAGCTAAGACGTCAATTTTATGTTTTTCTACTGTCGCGAATACTCCTTGACGCAACAGAAGTAATGATGAAACTTTAAAGCTTGGTACAAGAGTCATTTATATTTCTGAAAACTTGCCCCCTAAAAGAGACTAAATCATTTATAGATTTTTGATACCTAGTTGAAAGCTTCATATTCACTATGTCGTTGTTGAATCTTTGAGTTAGCAATAAGATAATGCCCCTTTTTTTGAACAAAATGACATCAGTTTCTTTATGGATAAAGATTTTTCAAGACTTCCGTTTGAAATTTTCTTAAGAACAGTTATTCCGTTTGAAATTTTCTTAAGAACAGTTATCTTTTGAAGTTTTAAGTTTTATCCATCTAGGATTATTTGAGTACCTAAAAAAATACCACAACTTTTAAAGCTTTTAGTCCTTTGATGTTTTGGAGAATCATATGAGCTTGTATCTTATGAGACTTTTAGCCTTTCATATATTTTTAAAAACATGATAAATTTATACGTTTTGATGCTTTTAGTTTTATCATTTTTTTATGTGAAGGCCTTGTCAACAATTTACTTCCATGGAGTATTCTAGTTACAACTCTATTCGCTACTAGCTTTCATTGAGATTATCTCATGGGTTTGCCTTCCAAGAGTTAGGAATGGATACCCTATATATCACTTGCTCTTATTAGGTCTTTCAATGTGGATCATATTCTTTATTAGCTTCCCATCAAGGCCACCTCATAGGCATGCATGCTAAAGATTTTGGTTAGATATAATGTTATTATTTATAAAAAGAAGATTTCATTGATAATTTAAGTAGATACTTACTTGAAAGGTACATTTTATATCCAATAGAATCAAGTTATTAGTTCTTTTAAAATTTTAATTGAGTTCAAATTCTTTGATTTGTTTTAATAATAAAATCTTATGGTGTACGTGATGACACTCTTATTAAATAATTTTTATAATTTTCTTACTATGATTCTTTTGATCGCTTCTATTTGAGGCAAACGATATATATATATCGTTCTTATATAATATGAACCAGATGTCTTCAGCAAATTAGACATTGAATCTCTTCCTTCAACAAAAAATAATTTTCTTAAAGTGTTATCTAGAATGATAAAAGTGATAATATTAATCTAGCCTCTACCATATGATTTTTTTAAAGATGTTAGTCACTTAAGGTGTTTACAAATTTAGATCCTCATTAGAATGTTAGCCATGAAGTTGGATTGTTAAAGGAGTGATTGTGAAATAGATGGAGATATTATTAGTAGAATTCAAGTTGGATGGTTGAAGTGGAGGAATGCATCGTGCTTAGCTTATTATGTAATAGAAAAATTCCTCTCAAACAAAAGAGAAAATTCTATAAGATGTTTGTGAGACTTGCAATGCTTTATAGTGCAAAATGTTGACCATTAAAAGAGAAGCATAATATTAATTTAAGTGTTGCAGAGATGAGGATGCTTAGGTGGATGAGTGGCTTTACTTTTAAAGACGGGATACAAAATGAGCATATACTTGAAAAGGTTGGAGTACCTCCATAAGAAGATAAGATTAGAGAGAGACGCCTTAGATGGTTTGGTCACATAAAACGACGTCCTTCCGTTGACCCAGTTAGGAAAGTAGATGTATTAGATTTGACTTATGTTAAAAAAGGTAGAGATAGATCTAAAAAGACTTGGTTAGAAAATATTAGAAATGACATTTATTTATTAGATTTAGATGAGAATTTGACTTTTAACAGAATATAATGGAGAAAAAGGATTCATGAAGCCGACCCACATAATAGGATCAAGGCTTATTATTGTTGTTGCTGTTGTTGTATTAGAATGTTAGCCATGAATGTGTTTATGGGATGTAATTTGGTGAATCAAGCTAAATTTAATGAGAATGGCATATCTATTCTCTTGAGTGCTCTTGCTTTTTTTCTTGTTAAGGAGGTCAATCTATTTTTTACTATGAATTCTTAATGTGTTTAAAGAGTGTTCAGACTATTTTTAATGGGTGCTAATGACCTCATTAGTAGTTATTTGTGCTTTTACTTAATGAATATGATCAACATATGAGCATATTGTCTCTCACATTTATGAAGACTAGAATGATTCAAAATTGAGATTTAAAAAAAAAAAAAAAATCTCATACTGCTAAATATTTTAAAAATGATTTCTATAAAATATTTTTATTTCCCAAACTCTTGTACAACAATTTGGGTTGTATTCACATTTCAAATATACATACTTAAATGTTTAATTGTAGCAATTTATATAATATTCATAATAATATAAATTTTAAAGAGTGATTGCAACATGAGATAATATAATATTATATGAACTTACTATGATAATTAGTTAATTACAATAGAACAATAAACATCTTAAGTCAGTATTTATCCTCAGTGGCTTTTAAGTCCTGTAGATTAATTAAAAAATAATAAGTAAAAATTCATAGTGAGTTGTAAAACTCAATAGGACTTAAAATAATTTTTTTATTATATAATTCTTTAGTTAATTTGTCCTCAAATTTTTTTAGTCTTTGTTAAAAAGTTTTTAAGTAATTGCCCCTCCCCCCTAAAAGTTTTAAAATACTATGATATTTAGGCAATTACCACCAATATAATTAAACACATTGTTAGGGTGTGTCAATATTTGATCCGACTCAAAAATCCGACCCGAACCCGAACTGGGTCGAGTTCGGGTTACGGATTTCGACCCTTTTGTAAAATTGGGTCTGGTTTGGGTTGACCCGAAAACCCAAATCAACTAGGTTTGACCCGTTTTTAATTAATTTTAGAGTGTTTTAATGGATTTTTATGAAATAAGTAAATGATATTTCAAAAAATTATAAACATTATTGTACAAATTAAATTAATCTTGATTTATTTTAAATTAATTGAAGTAAATCTTACCTTAATTTGATTTAGATTTAAATAAATTGAATTAAAAAAAATTTTAATAAAATATACCAGAATCCGGTCGGGTTCGGGTTGACCCGGACCCGAAGGGGGTCGGGTTCGGGTTCAGAAAACCGACACGGTTGCAAAAACGGGTCGGGTTGAACAGTGTCGGGCCAATTTCAAGTTGGACCCGAACCCGATCCGTGACCCGATTTTGACAGCCCTACACATTTTGACGATGAACTAAATTAAAAGAGAAATAATAAATCAAAATTTGAACAAGTCGAACGCCACCGGGGGGTGCTGCCCCCTTTGACCCGACATATATGCCACGAGTTATTTATAAATTTGTCTCACTTGAAAATTATAATTGGTTACGCCCTGTTAATATATTCATGTGTAATTGCCTATACTTATATAAAATAATAGCTTATACTTTTACTTTAAACATATTTCTTACATATATAACCAATCATGTTTGAAAACTTTAACAAAATCTCAAGAATGGTGTGCAGCTTGATCAAAATAAATAGTAGACCTGTCAACATTGGACCAGATCCGAAAATCCGACCTGAAAATTTCGGATTTGGATTGACCCGACCCCGAAGTGGGTCTAATAAAAAGCAAGCTAAAGCTAAGTTATAAAGAGTAACATTATATAAAATGGTATGTATTTAAATCCCCCCTTCCAAGTAAAAAATGATAGGCTTCGCCGGCTCATTAAGCTCCACCGACCCCTCAAGCATCTTCGCCACCTTCCCCATCGACGGCCTCGCCTCTGCCCTATCCTGCATGCACAACATCGCCGTCTTCACCATCCTCTCCACCATCTTCACCTTTATCCGATCGTCAAAACTCCCCAAAATTCTCGCATCCAATATGTCCTCCACCTTCCTCTCAACAAAAACCTTATCATAAGCCCACCTCGGAAAGTACCAATCCTCGCTATCCACCGAATCTCTCCGGAAATCCCAACACCGCATTCCGGCCACCAGCTCGAGCAGCACCACCCCGAAGCTGTAGACGTCGGCCTTCGCTGTGATGGGCTCCTCGTTCATCACCCACTCCGGCGCCATGTACCCACGCGTCCCCCTTATCCTCGACATACTCACCCTCTCCTCCTTGTTCGTCAGCTTCGACAGCCCGAAATCGGAGACCTTAGGGCAGAAATTGTCGTCAAGAAGAATGTTTTCAGGTTTGATGTCGCAGTGCAGCACCCATTCCAGGCATTCTTCGTGAAGGTACGCGATTGCTCGCGCGACGCCGAGCGCGATTCGGTACCGGATGTTGAGATCCAGAATTGGCCGCGGCTTTCCGGTGATTCTGGAATAGCTTCTGCTTTCTTCGTCGGTACCGCTGAACTCTGTTAAATCCTGGAAGAGGAATTTGTCGAGGGAGCCGTTAGGGATGTATTCGTAGACCAGCAGACGCTTCTCCTTTTCCGTGCAGAATCCCCAAATTCGAACGAGATTTAAGTGGTGCATCCGGGCGATGATGGTTACCTCCGCCCAGAACTCGGCGTCGCCGCCAGAGCTTTTTCGCAGTTGCTTCACCGCGACGGTGCGGCCGTCGGGGAGCTGCCCGTGGTAGACCACGCCGTAGCCGCCGGAGCCGAGGACCTTAGAGAAATCGGCGGTAGCTGCCCGGAGCTCGGAATAGGAGAATCGCTTCGGGCCTCCGGCTGGTAAGAGCTCGAGCCCCAATCTCCGCGCCATGTCTCTGTATTTCGAATACCTGCGAAGGAAACCCAAGAAGCAGAGCCCACCGACCAGGAGCTCAAGTACTAAGAGCATCACGATGATGGAGACATTTCTCGCCAGCGTCTTCACCTCCTTCGGCGGCAATGGAAGGCTGATCAACAAAGGGCAAGCTGTATCGATTATCGATGTCAATCCCGTGAAATTGGAAGTGTCGGTCTCGGAGATCGCGACGCGTAGGAACATTGTGATATGCGAGGACGTCGACCAGTAGCCATTCACGAGCTCGCCGTAATGGTTGTAGCAAATTTGCGTTCCGTTCAAGATGTAGCTGAAGCCTGTGCAACTGGAATTCTCAATACAGGTGAATCTGCATCGATCTATATCGGCCGGCGAAAGATCCACCGTGCCCTGCTTCCCAGTGAAGCTGATGTATTCGAGGGGAAGGAACTTACTGCTCGGAAGGTAATCCTTCTTCCGCACGCATCCTTCGTCGGTGGTAGACATGCGAAAGCCCGGTGCGCATACGCATTTGTTGGTGTCGTAGCTTCCATTGGGGACGCAGATCGAGTTAGGGCCGCACCTGTTCGGGATCATACAGACCTCATACATTGCGAACCAGACAATCTTCCAATGCCCGCCGGAGTTTCTCTCGAGGCTATAGAGACGGAGATTGCCGTCAGCGTTGATTGTTAGCCGGCGGAGCGTGCTGTTTTGACCGAAATCAGAGGCGATGTATGAATTCGCACCGTTGGTTGGGTCGGCGATTAGCCCACCGTCGGATTTGATGTAGGAGATCGGCTGGATTGACCAGAACATCTGGGAATGGAACCAGAGCGATGATCCGTCGAAGCGGTAATCTCCGGAGGAGAGGGAGGTGTTGATAGGGAGTAACTGGTTGGGTAGGAGAGTGTCAACCGGGGAGGAGAAGCTAGTCCAATTTCTGAATGTGAGGGATCCGTTGTCGTTTAGTTGGAGGAATGTGGAATTAGGCGCGCCGGAAGCGCCGGATGGGAAGAGGTTCATTCCGGAAAGGCCGACGAGGGTGAGATCGCCGGCGTCAGAGATGAATAAGCTGGAGGAGGAGGGGACAGGGCCGATAGCCCACACGCGAGTCTTATCAACGGAGGCTTCGACCCAGACGGTGAATTCAAACAAGGAGATATTAGAGCCAGAGGAAAGGAAGCCAGCGGAGAAAAGCGAATTGGGAGAGCGGAGGGTGCGGTTGTTCTGCGAGGGAAGCCATGGTGGATCGGAGATGGAGAAGGAGGAGGTGTTGCTCTGTTCTCGACTTTGGCCGGAGACTGGAAGGAGGAGGAGGAGTGCGAGCGCGGCCATTAAAATTCTTCCGCGTCTTGCAGTTCCTTCTGCTTCCTCTGATATATTTGGCAATTGGGCCCATCTCCGGCCCATGAGAAGGAAATGAGTGGGGATTTCTTGGCGGTCAACTGCGGGAACTCGATTTAAATATTTTGTTGAAAGAGAAAAGCTCCAGTTTTTTAATCGTGGAAGAAAGTGTTCCGAACTTTCTCACCCTTGGATCTGCTTTAAAAGTCGAGCTCATTTCATAGATATTTTTTATAACCAGATAAATTGGCTCGAGCTAGCTTAACATTTGTCAGTACACTACCGGTGCTTGGATAGGTTTTTCCCGGCGGGACATGAAAGAAATTTAATAATTAGAAGAACCTAATCTGTCATGAAAATATTATTTAATGCTCCATGATGCCGTTAAAAAAAGTCATAACTCAGAAGAGTAGTTTTTTTTTTTCTCTCAAAGAAAAGCACCAACTTATAATGACAAAATAAAATGTGTGGGTTATGTTGCATTGCGAGCAGAGACTTAAGGGGTTGAATGGTTAACTAAAAAAAGAATAATGTAAAAAGATATAGTAAATAATTTTTTATTTGATTTAAGTAAAATAAATGTAGTATAAAGTTGAAAGATGATAATGATAGGTGGATGGTGATGGCTGGCAGCGGTTGCTGGCAACCAGTAGGTAGGTGGAGGCGGCGGTTAAATGAGCATGTTTGCGGTGTAAATCGTTCTAACTCAAAATCAAATAAGCTTATATTTATTTTACTTTGAGTTCCTTTTGAAAGCTACCTGCAAAGGTTAGTGAAGCAAAATAAAAAAGTATGGAATTCCATTGATTCAAGCATGGTGTAAACGACTTGATACAGTGATGTATATAAAGCTTAGAAAGTAGTTCGTTGGAGAATGTCAGGCGGCCGTTGATAGCAGACTAGGATTTTAGACGAGTGGGTTTGTGTGTTGAGGTGGATGGAGCACAGTATGGTGAGTGCGCTGTGGGTAATTAGACCTGTTGTGTTGACAGCCCCCCTCAAATTAACTGTATGTTGTACATATTGTTAGTTTGGATCTGAGTTCGACAAACCGAGTAGACGGGAGAGCTTTTGTGAGTATATATTATGGTTGGTCATTAGAACTGATGTGAGAAACTTCGACATGTTTGTGTTTGATGTGATCACTTATGAAATGGTGATCAATTTTAATGTGCTTGGTCCTAGCATGAAAAATTGGGTTGTTGACCAGCGCTAGAACTGAGATGTTGTTGCAGAAAATCAGCGTAGCTTGAGATTGAATAGCTTGGAAGTCCTCTAGCAGACGACGCAGCCAGAGAACATTTGTGGTTGCTGCTGCTAAAGCTCTGTATTCTGCTTTCGTAGACGATTTAGCCACCGTTGTTTGCTTCTTCACACTCAAGGATATGAGATTGCTTCATAGGAACGTGCAGAAACTTGATATGGATTTTCTGTCTTTAGTGTTTGAGGCCCAGTCGGCATCACTATAGGAGGTGAGAGTGAATTGGCCAAAGGAGACGGGGAGGCCGTAGTCTAGCGTGCCTTGAATATATCTGAGTAGGCGCTTGAGGGCCTGGAAGTCTTGAACCGTCGGACTGTGCATATGTTGGCATATAACATTGGTGGCGAATGCAATGTCTGGCCGTGTGACTGTTAAATATTGCAGTGAACCTGCAAGTTGACGGAAGAGGGTTGGATTGTCGAAGGGGGCATTGTCCATAGTCTTCCTGGTAGATTTTGGGGAGATCGTGGTTGCAACTGGTTTGCACATATCAAATCCTGATGAGTGTATGATATCACGAGCGTAGTGAGACTGATGTAGGAAGAGGCCTGATTCCGTATGGTCAATTTTAATGCCGAGGAAGAGGCTGGCTGGTCTTAGCTGTTTCAGCGCAAATGTGTGTTAGAGTTGAGACAAAAGATCTTGAATGGTGCTTTGATGGTTTCCTGTTAATAGTAGGTCATCTACATAGATTAACAAGTAGAGTTGAATTTGCTGAGTGTACAGGGATGGATCGGATTTGCTGAACCGAAAGCCAAAATGGATCAGGAATTCAGTGAGCTTGTGAAACCACTGCCTCGGAGCTTGCTTCAGGCCGTAAAATAGCCTTCTTTAGTCTGCATACATGATTTGGTTGTTGGGGATCAACAAATCCTGGTGGTTGTTGCATATAGACTTCCTCTTAGAGGTCTCCATGGAGGAAAGCATTTGCTATGTCAAATTGCAATGTTGGCCATTTTCGATGAAGAGCAATGATAAGGAAGACGCAAATTGTTGGCATTTTGGCCACTGGATTGAACGGGTCCTTGTAGTTTATGACATACTGCTGTGTGTTTCCCCGAGCTACAAGCCGCGCTTTGTAGCGATCTACCGTGCCGTCCAGAAGCTTCTTGGTTTTGTAAGTCCATTTGCAACCCAGTAGAGGTGCATGATATGGCAGTGGCATGAGCTGCCAAGTGCCCTGACAGAATCCTTTGAGATTCTGTCAGGGTCCGAGAACCTGAAATCTGAAAACAAGTTCTGATCTGATAATTTTGTATCTCTGATATGTTTTGGTGCTGTAAAGTACAAAGGAGGCATAAGGGGCCATAATCCGTTGAGATTATGTAAAAGTCAGGGAAGGGAGGCATAAGAGGCCATAATCCGTTGAGATTCTGTCAGGGTCCGGGAATCTGATCTGATATGTGATATTTGATCTAATCAGATTTGACAATGTGCTTTATGATTTGTACGATTCTGTTTGTTCTGTGATTTGAAGATAATTCTGATTTGAAATCTGATTTGAATATTTTGTTATACGAAATGAATTCTTCTGTATCAGTGATTTGAATATTTTGTTAATCAAGTATTTGTATTTTGTCTGATTATACGATTTTCTGTACGATTATTTGAATTATATACGGCTACTTTTATGATGTATTTTGGATGTGAGTTTCTGGAGATTTTGATTGGCTAGTGTAGTCTTGCTGAGCTGTTAGCTCATTCTTGTTATTTGCGTGGTTTTAAGATTCTGGGAAAGGGAAGGACGTCTTGGACTACCCGTTTAATGTTTGATCTGAGATTAAGTATTTTTTATTTTTTAATTTTTGTACAGTCATGCCTTTTCTGTTCTATTCTTTCTATTGGTAGCCATGCACTGTAATGTACATAATTATTTTGATGAAAGAAAGAAGAAAATTTCAGATGAATTTCTGTATATTTGGATGTTTATAGTAGCTCTGTGTTTTCTATGTGTCTGTTTATTGGAAGAAAGTCTGAAAGCAAATTTCAAAGCTAGATCCTGGATTAATCCGTCGCGACCCTACGCGAAGGGATTCGTTCCAGTTGGATTGGGTCGTGACATGCTTTCTGGTAGAGGGAGAAGTCCTTCGCCTGTGTTGTATGGGTAGAGTTGATCCGCTTGCTGTAGAGATGGAGTCAGGACCTTGATAGGGGGTGGAGTGTTGCAGGTTGATCATGTCAGGCATGAGATGAGTAAAAGCACCCGAATCTAGTATCCAGTCTGTGGTGAGAGTTTGTTGATGTTGTGTGAGAAGTACTCGATTAGTGGAGGTGGGTTGAGAGGAGTAATTGGAGTTGTAGCAGTGTCAGCAGGATGTTGTTGTGTGTCCCATTTTACTACAAATTTGACAGACAGGACGCGCCGAGCTCTTCGGCATTGGTGAAGGAGGTCTGTTGGATGAGCCAGGTGAACTGAAGGGTACTCCTCTTCCCCTATTATTTTTGTAGTTGGAGGATCTTCCTCTTCTTCTTGTAGTGTATAGGGCCTGATGATCAGAGGTAGCAGAGGCAGTTGCATCCTGCTGAATCTCCATTTGTAAGTTTATTTCCTCACTGTAGAGGAGAGAGTACAGAGATTCCAAGGTGATGGAGTGAGGCGAGGTGCGAATGGCAGCTTTGAAAGGATTGTATGAGTAAGGCAATCCTTTCAGGGTGTCGAGGACAATATCCTCGGTGTCTATACGACATCCTGCGGCTGCGAAGTTGTTTACCAGAGACTTGATTTGTGCCAGATACTGAGAGACAGTCTGATCGCACATTTGAACGTTGTGCAGCTCATTTTTTGATTGGATCATGCGCGACCTATTTGTGGGTTGTAGACGGAGCTCCAGTGCAGTCCATATTTCACTAGAAGTTGTTAGGTGAAGAATGTAGAGTAGAACGGATGGTGAGATAGTGGAGAGGAGTGCGGAGATCAAGTTCTGATTGACCAGTTTCCACAGTTTGATTTCATTTTCGTCGGCTATTCCTTGGGGAAAGGGAAGAGATCCGGTGAGATATCCGTCGAACTCGTTGGCAGTGAAGGCCTGAAACATCTGATGACGCCATATGGAGTAGTTTTCCACAGTGAGCTGGGTATGAACTAGAAGCTTGAGATTATACTTGAGAAATTTGAGGGTAGGAGGTATAGTGATTGCGGCCATTGAAGCATAGAGAGTTTCTGTGGCCTGAGATTGTGAAGAAGCGGCTTGTTCCGTCATGGCGATGAATGGAGTTGGATCGGCCCAATGTCACGCTCTAATACCATGAAAGCTACATGCAAAGGTTAGTGAAGCAAAACATAGAGGTATGGAATTCCATTGATTCAAGCATGGTGTAAACGACTTGATACAGTGATGTATATAAAGCTTATAAAAGTAGTTCGTTGGAGAATGTCAGGCGGCCATTGATGGCAGACTTGGATTTCAGACGAGTGGGTTTGTGTGCTAAGGTGGATGGAGCACAGTATGGTGGTGAGTGCATTGCGGGTCAATAGACCTGTTGTGTTGACACCTTTTTCATCTAAGAAAACATAAAATTTTCAAAACTCGTGTATTTGAAATATTTTACTCCCTTATGTAATCCAATCAAACTGCCCCTAAGTAGGAAGAATTTGTTTATGATAACTTTCTTACTGTTTATTTGCTTATTTCTTAGCTTTTAATTATAATTTTTATCATGTCATTATTTTTTTATTTTTTTAATTATGCTAAGAAATTTTTTTCTACAACAACTATAAAAAGTTACTTTTTCGCCGGACCACCATCTGACGCCGAACTTCTGTCAGGCCACCACTTGATGACTCAACTTCCAGCGGTACACCGATTGACGTCGTACTTTGGTCGGACCACTGACCGACTCCTGAACTTAATTTAGACCACCGCCTGACGCCGAACTTCTGGTGAACCACCGCTTGATGCAGGACTTCTTCTAGACCACCACTTCACGCCTAGACTTCTACTGGAACATCGACTGACGCCGCACTCCCACTAGAACACCGAC